TTTTTTTTTTTTTTTTTTTTTTTTTCTTGTAGAGGGGATTGAACTCAGGTCCTTGCACTTGTGAAGCAGTGGCCGGAACCACTGAGCTAATCCCCGGCTCATTTTCTTTTCTGAAGATTTAGATTTTATTAATTTTTTTTTAATGCATGATTAATTGAAAAATCAAATAAGATTTGAATGTATTTTATTATAGTTTCCTTTTAACAAAAGATAAAACTTACCTGATCCTCTAAAATGTAAAGAATATTATACTGAAGCAGGTCCTTAAAAGGCAGCATGGTTTCAAGCCAGGTGTGGTTCACAATTCTAATCCCAGCACTGTGGCAGGAGAATCACTGCAAGCAAAATCTTGTCTCAAAAAGCAAAACCAAACAAAAAAACAGCTTGGTTTCTTTGTGCAGCGTTTATAACAACCTCTGATAACTATGCTCTGTTGCTTTACAAGGTTTCTACATATTTTTAGTGAGAAATATTTATTGTGAATCATGCACTTCTTAACATGTGATATTTGTACAATCAGCACCCATGTTGGGTTTCACCAAGTTCTGTTTCTGGAAAATGATATTTCCTTATGGAGTGGAGTAGTGTTTGTGAACAAATAGAAAATAAGCAGAAACCTTTTTAATCTTGGCAAAATACCTTGGAACATCTACATTAATTGCTGTTAGCCATGTTAAATCTCACATCTTAACCTGCTAAGCTGATAGAAGAGTGGTCTCACTCTAAACAATAGTAAATTCAGTGATATTTGGATTGAGATCAGCTAAGGGACCACGTGACTCTGAAATGTACAACACTCACCTGCATGAGAACCACAATGGCAGGGCCCATGCATCAGGGGCCAGGTCGTGTCTCAGGGACGATGGCTTCCAGCTCCTATGTAGCATCCTGGAAATCTGCAGTCACTGAGCAGGAGTGACCTGAGACAGCTCTAAGACAGCTCTCAGTGAGTCTGACTAAGGTTGTCACTGTGTTCTAGATAGTGAAGATTGACTATGAGGAGGATGCACATGTTTTCCGGAAAGCTGCCAATGATATCACATCCCAGCTGGAGATTAACTTCGGGAACCTCCCTCGTCCTGGACGAGGAGGCAGAGGTGGCACTCGGGGAGGCCGGGGAAGGATCCGGAGGGTGGAGAACTATGGACCCAGAGCAGAAGTGGTGGTGAGTGGTTGCACTGTCAGTCCTGGATGTTCACTGCAGGAAGTGAGGGGACCAGCGTGCCCTGGGCATGCTGTGGTCTTAACTTGGAGGGGAATCAGATGCTTTGTCCTTGTGACCTGGAACCCTTCTCTGGCTGTTCTCAGAAATGTTCCTTCCTTTTGCTACCCAGTTTCCTTGCACCAGGGAGTGACCCCACAAAAAATGCCTATGGTTTGTTTTTATTAAGTAACAGCAAAAACTCAACCTTTTCCCAGAATATACTTTAAGCTAGTTGTAAAAGAGGATTCCGGGACCGGAAAAGACATACACCTTTGAAATAGCAGGGCTCTGTGTGGGGTATTGTGAGGCTATGGGTGTATGGCGCCAACCCACCCGGTTCCAGGCCAGTCCCAAGGCTTGTCTCAGGGAGAACTTGGCTGGCACTAGATGACCCCAGTTCCCAAGATGCCTGTGACTGAGGTTCCCTGCTTCCCGGTACTGTATGGTTCACCCTGTATCTCCAGCCCTGGCAGCAGCAGGTGATGAACACAGGGCCCAATCCAGAGCGCCTCTCACTAACAGTCTGAATTTGCAGCACAGCTGCTCCCAGGCCTGCCCTGCAGTGGCCATGTACCTTCTTCCCCACTGCAGCCTTCTCTTTCCTCGTGCTCTGTGCCAGGTCCTCTCCTACCCACACTGGGAGTAAGGTCGTGGCAGTCCGTTTTTAAAATTTCTTTTCTTCTTTAGACACAAGACATTGCCCCCAACCCAGATGACCCTGAAGACTTCCCCGCTCTGGCGTGAATGGGGCAGCACCAGTGACCCCCACCCACCCATGAGGAGACCCTGAGAACAATAGATGTTGCTTCCCTGTGTCATGTGAAGTTGCTGCACTTTTTTGGTCTTGGGGTGTGAGATGCACACCCACTGCCCCTGCACTGGGGTTTTTGGCAGGTACTTTCTAAGAAGGTAAAGAATGGTGACCATTTTTTTATTTAAGGAATTCCAAAGAAATTCAGGAATAATGTTTAAAAGTGTAATAGAGACTGCATCAAACCCTCCACCAAAGCATGGAGAGTAAAGTAAGCTGTAAAATATAATCTATTGAGAGCACTTAGTAAATTGTATAGTTCCTGGAAGCTGTATAGATTCTTCCTCTGGTATTACAGGAAATAACACAGAATTATAACTATTACTTTAGGGCAGTCACAGCTTAGTTTCTGAGAGTGTTTACTTGTAAATGTCACACCTCCTGAAATTTCCTTAGTTCTCTTTCATTTAACCACTAATTCCAAACAGCTGTTGTACAGCCAGTGGTCACCACTCTGTGACAAAAAATAGATAAAGTATTGATTTTTTAATGGTGATATAAACTACCTCGTGGTTTTTGTGTGTGTAAATAAACACACTCAGTATATACAGTACATATATATATGTGCATATTTACCATTTGGGTAGTTTTTAGGATGAGTACTAAGTATATGACTTTTAAAATCATGTTATTTAACCCACCAAATGAAAGTTCTCCAAGCCAAGGTTAACAGCATACCTTTCCCTCAGAATAAGCATGCACCTCAGCCATGGGGCAGGGCCCAGGCTGGCGTAATGAATCTCTCCTCTGCTGCGTGCATGGCCTCCCCCTGTGGCCCTGCAGCTCTAGCACTCCTCACTGTAGTCCCACCCCAGAGAGTGGGGACAGCGAGGCAGAGGCAGCAGTGACTTGTTAGGGACAATGACAGGTGGCCGTGGCATTGGCCTGTCAGGCCTGTGATGGCACTAGAGCCCTGTCCTAGTCTCTGCTTCTTGAGTTCTGCTGCACTGTCTCAGGTAGCTCTGAACTAGAGTCCAAATGCAAATAAAAGCTGGAATTCCCTCCAAACTATGTGTAGAAAACTCTGTCCTTTTTGGCTACAGTGAGTTACAGTGGAAAGCTGAGTCCCTATATGTGTTAGAGCCAAGGCTGTTTGGGTGGCAGTGGCTTTGGATTTCATTATTAAAAGACTATCCAAGTACTAATGTGTATTGACGTACTGTTTTGTTTGTGCTCCCTGGAAAACACAGTGATGTGAGGGCTTGATCTGGGAGAAGAGACCCTATGAGTAATATTTCAGGTTTAGTCATAATCACCAGCTGGTGCGGGGTGAAGACTGTCACCACTCAGCACCTGTAAAGCTGTCATGTAATTTTGCCTTCATTGGCTTTGACGATTGACAAAACAGATCCCTTGAGAGGAAACTCCCACTTGTGAAAAGCACTTTACAAGCCCACAACACTTGCACGTCTTCCTGTTTCATAGTGAATATATGGCACTATCTCTGGGTCTTTGGCCTGTGGGCTTTCCTTGGTTACTGGGGCTGCCTTGCTGACTTGGGCCGATGTGTGCAGAGTTTGTGTTTGTGCCCTTTCTAAAACATCCCCTGGGCTGGTCACAGCCCAAGTAGCCTAGAGAAGACAGCAAGAGTGAAACAAAGGGCAAAGGAAGTCATCTACATGGTAACCTGGTATTTGGACCTGGACACCAAAAGGACTTTCCTGACTAGAGTTCCCCTGCCAGGCTCCTTTGAGACGCTAGTGGCAGGTTTGTCATCACAGGGAGAGAGGCACCCTGATACCACAGAATCAAGCAGACTAATCTCACAAAAGAAGCAATCTGTGAGGTCCTTGAAGAGGGAGCTGAAGCCTAGGTGGACCAGCTAACCCCACCTGACTGGGCCACTTGGGAACTGCATGGTCTCAGGCATCTGAGTTGGGCTACCAGGTGGCAACTAGGGGTGGAGCTGGGGGTGAGGTCCCCAGGCCTTGGGAGCAACCTTACAGTAACAGCCATACCCAGACACATCCAGATGAAGACTGGGCTGTCACCCCTTTTTCCAACCAGATGGAAATCCAAGGGTACCTTTGAACCCTGGGCAGACAGTGGACTCAGGCAGTCTGGTAAGGCCACCTGCAGCCCAGTGCCATGACCAGCCTCGGGTATCTCCATTCATGTCAGGCAGCCCTATGCCAGTCCCCACTTTGCTAGTGTTGGCTGGACTTGAGCTCCTTTCCCGCTGTCCCACCAAGCGTCCCATGTCCCGTTGAGCATTTCACATGTGAGGGCTCAATGGTACCTTTGAAGCCACCCCATGTGGTGGCATCATGAGTCCCATGTGGCAGCTGTATCCATTTCTCAGCAGATGGCAAGGGGCAGGAAGTGTCCTCTCCAGGCCACCAAGGCCTACAGGTGGCCATCTGGCCAGCCAATGCCACTCAGCCACTTTGATACCCAGGATGGGCCCACTATGATGTGAATGTTTAAATTTTTTAAGATTTGCTGCAGTAAAAGGCACACTGGCATAAATTCCCCTCAGAATACTCCCCCTTGCTTTGAACTCGCTTAGCTCATCACTCTTGCCATTTCCTGAAGCAGTTCTGGAAGTAGTCTTCCTCATCTTTATGAGGTGCGACCAAAAACGAATGCTGCTGCTGTGCCATCCAAGGGAGAGGAAGGCTTGTATGAACATCAGAATGGGTCCTCATCCACCTACTGCACTGGATCCAGCACCATGCAACTTCTGGCTCTTCCCCAAAGTCAAGGAGCATGAAAGGTAGGCATATGACTTGATTCAGAACATCGAGACAGCCATTATTACAGTGCAGTTACAGGCACTCACAAGAGACTCCAGAGCTGTGTCAGAAGGTGTTCAGAAAGGTGAGGTGGTGTGCAAAGTGAGGGAACATTAAGAGAGATTCACAGCCATGCATCGGTGCATCTCTTCCTGTAATATATCTAAACATTCACCTTGTATTTCCATTGGCTCTCACATGTTGAGATGCCATTTCCTTCTGAGACTGTCCTGTGCGCTGTGCCTGCATCTCCAGAACTTCCACAGAGGGCACCTTTGACCCCATGCCACCCATATCTGTACACTGTCCATCTCCAGGCTGAGGTATTCCAGCTAAAGAGGGACCGTCACATCTTGGGTGCCCATAGGGCTGCTGCAGCTGCCTCAACTGTCACACGGGGACCACGTGGCACTGTCTGCCCACCCCTAGCTCAAGTCTAGGCGGTGACAGAAGGCAGTGGGGGAGGCAGAAACAAAACTTCCTCTGCAGTTTTGTTAGTCAAAGGGCCATGTGCACTTTGGCAGGGGACAAGAAGGGCCACCTAAGGGAGTGTGAAGTGCTTTCAGCCACTGGAGGCAGCTGAATGCTTCCTTGGTATGCAGCAGGCCACCCTGTCGCTGTCACGGCATACTGGAGCCAGAGGGGGCCCTGGGAGCTGCGGATGGGTCACCAGTGAGGGTTGGGGCCAGAGGCAAGGCTGGTGGCTCTGTTCCCTAAGCCTCGGGTGACAGTGGCTCCTGCCCATTCCGCACTGCTCCAGGAAAGCTTCTGCCTGGGCCACAAGGCTTCCGGGCCCAGGATGACAAACATCCCCGTCACACAAGGTTCTTGTACCTCCTTGCTCCACGAGCTGGGAAACCACTGCCTCCTAAATGGAGTTTCTTTACAAAGATGTGCCCAGCTCCAGAGGGCAGCTGTGGACTGTGGGAGTGCAGAGCTATCTAAGGTGCGGTGCCTTTTGCGTGAGAAGGGAGGGGCATCAGCTTGCACATAAGCCCACCAGTGCTGCTCAGTGCTCAAGTATAAAGGCAGTGTGAAGGCAGAGACACTTGCACACTGCAGCCATGTACTGCCCAACCACAGGGCCTGGATAATCACATCCACTTTGGATAACCTACACAACTGTACCTGGCCCACTCAGACACTAGCCGCTGGCTTTGCCTTACAGCAAAAGTGAGGTAAGCTCTTAAGTATCTGCAGCAAGTCCTAAATTCAGGAGTGCAAATTGATGCTGGGTGAGTGAAAGGAAGGAAAGGGGAGAGGGGAAGGAAAAGGAAGTAAGAAATGGGGCACAAACTTTTCTTCAGAGCTGCAAGGCTTCAGGTCCCACCGTGTAAGCACGGGTTCCTAATTTAAGACGCTTTAAGATCAACCTGGTCATTCACTGGCTGGCAAGGCCCTGGGCTGAAATCCCAAGACCAGTGAAGAATGAGGCAGAAACAGATTCTCCAAGGGGCTTCAATTGCTCAAGAGAGGGCAGGTAGGGAGGGCAGCACTGTGTGGCTCTCAGGAGGGTTGCTTAGTTGCTGCAAATCCCGAACCAGGTGAAAAGCTGGTCTAGTAGGAAGGTTACAGTCCAGGCAGCCAACCTTCACTGCAAAAAGAAGGGAATGCCAGGGCATGTCACCACATCTGCCATGGCTCTGGGAGGAAGAGTGGGCTTGAGAAGCCACTTGCTGCTGCTAAAGGACATACTACTCCAGAGCTTACTTAGGATACCCAGCATCATCCAGGTGGGTCACAGCAGGTCCCCTCCCTGGCAGGGTAACACTAGGCAAGTTCTCCCCTCTGTGGCTGTTGCACGTTCCCTAGCCAGCAGCAAGGTGTCAGCTCAGCCACCCAGGCCACCCTGGGTGCCCCTGCATACCCACAAGCTCTGCTCCCTGCTGCTGCAGCCTCCACCAGTGAAACTGTCCCTCCATCCCTGGCTTGGGGTACAGTAAGAGGCAGGGCACTCCTTCGCTATGCAGGGTCCCCAGAGTGCCAGGTGCTTCCATGGCAGCTCACCAGTTGTTGCTAAGGAGAGGCAGTGAGGCTCCCTTAAGTTGGCTGAAAACATGGGGTGGGGTGGATGTGCAGACTATTTGCTGGCACTGGACAGGCATAGGCATCGGCATCGGACACGTAGCATTCTCTGGAGACAGAGAGTTAAGAAAGCCTTGTTTCACAGAGACAACCCCATGACAAGACAGCCCTAGTTTCTCTCCAAAAGCCACACTGCCTCCTCCAGGTTCCCTTGTCCCACCTGCTTAAAAACATGCTCTCTGGCCACTATAATGGGAGGGGCTGAGGTGTAAGTGTAGGTGTAGGCTGGATCTGGGCACCACCTTACCTGGGGACTTGCGAGTGGTTTAGAACATGTCATCCAGGAGCAGGTCAAAATCACGCAGACTTGCTGGCAAAGAGACAACACAGTTAGAGGGAAGGCAAGGGAAGCCAAGTGCACTGAGGAGGCACAGAAGGACCTATATCCCTATGTGGACCACGGGTCCCAGGGATCAAGCCAGGGGGGAGTCTGCAGGAATCACCCAGAAGGGTCCTTTTTCTCCCTCAACAGGCAGAATCTCTGAGACTATACCATAGGGTTATTGTGTGTTTGGAGACAGAATGCCCCCAATATGATCCCTGACCTTGATCCTGGGGCCAGTGTCCTGTTGTTAATTCATAACCTGCTCACCATTGTTACCACAACTGCCAATGGGGAAAAGGAAGGAGCCTGGGGCCTGTAGATATTCCTCTTGAAAGCAGCATGGTTGTACTTTAATTTTACTAAATGTAATAATACATATATATGGCTCTTGGTATGTACCAGGCACACATTCTAAGTGATTAGCGAATATTAATGTATTCAGCCCACAAACAACTCTGCAAGAGCAACAGTGCCAGTTTAGTCGGGAAAGACCAAGTAACTAGGCCCAAATCACACAGCTGCACGGGAAGAGCCAAAGTCTGTACCCAGATGAGCCTAGAAGCCATGCTCTAACCACTACATCAACTTGAAATTTTGCATTGTCTTTGACCCAGAAATGCCTTTTGTCAGTTATTCCTAAGGAATTAACCAGGACTGCCCAGGAAAAATTTACGAAGGAGAATGTTCACTCAGCACTGTACCTGGGAAAGAGTGGTGACCTGCCTGGCATGAGCAGAGGATTCCAAGTCAGGGGATGCTATAGAGGTAGGAAAAATGATGTTTTCAGAGAATTCCTTCCAACGCTGTGTGCGAAGCACGCAGCACTGCACTCACATGCACAAGAGGAAGGGGACAGAGCAGACTTGGGGTGCTCCTCCTCAGGAATGTCACAGCCCATGTAAGGCCAGCCATGCTTGGTGCAATCCAAACACCCTGAACTCATCAGTCTCCCTCGGGTGAATGAAGTGAGCTCAGAGGCAGACCAAAGACGCCAGGCCAGGGTTAAGAGGCACATTGCTGGGACTTGCTCTTCCCAATCGTCTCAGTCACCAGCCGGGGCCTCAAGAAGGGGCCTCTGACGCCCACGACTCACAAGACTTACCTTCAGGGGATGTGTCCCCTTTTCAAGTCAAGAGTAATTTACTCCATGTCTTTTTAAAGCCTCCCAACATTACATGTGCATGGTATTATGTATCAAAAAATATGGGGAGGGGAGGAGGGGGTGAAGGGAGGGCAGAGGTAAGGGGAAAAAAATGAGAATCAAGACTTGCCATGTAAAGGTACATGATCCCAACAATGAATGTAACTGTACTGTATCCCTAAATGTACCAATAAACTCAAT